GGAAAATTTTATACTCTTCTTTATAAATTCCCCATCTATTCTTACATCCCCTAATTGAACCCTAGAATCCTTTGGTTGAATACTCCCAAAATGCCTTTGGGATTTTCCTTTAGTATTTATTATCATTATTGATAAAAGCTTGCTTTTAGTGAGAATTTGCTATGTATAAGACACTCTCTAAGCATTTTCCATGTACTACTCTATTCAATTTGGCCAACTCTATAATCAAGTACCATTATTATTTCTATTGATAGCTGATAAAACAAAGAAGTAGACAGGCTAAGAAATGTGTTCCATATCATAGAACTGGGAAAGGGCCAAGTTAGCTTTGGAACACAGGCACTTCTGGTGTTGAAGTCCAATTTACAATAGTATTTTGCTATTTTGGAACTAATTTAAAAAAAGTACAAAGTACCGTATTCTTTATAGGAAAAAGCAGGCTCAAAAACCATTTAGTAATTTTCCTAAAGCCTTTCCTATATTGAATTCATCTAAATTTCCTTAATGAAAGACTGCAAACTTAATAAAACTTCATTGTAAGACAAACAATTAAACTGTACTGATGATATGAAAGTAAACACCAAACATCTTACCAAAAATCTCAGTGAGGTTTTATGAAAAACGAAACTTAAATTCTGTAAAAATGAATCATCTGGAAGTAGCCTCAAAATAACATCAAATCCTTAAGCCAAAAAGGTCATTAAGTTTAAAATACTAAAAAGTGTTAATTTTAATGCATCTCCAAGGTGATAGACTAGGTACCTTATTCATATTTATACTCTATATTCAGATTAATACTCTGTATTTTCTTCTATCCATTTAATATAAAAAAAGATGCACAAAATATAATTCCTGGGTGGTCCATATCACATCTGAAAATAGTAACTGTTCTGATCCACAACCATGAAAAGGCTCATTTTATTTATCAAACTGTCTTTGCTTCCTCTCCTACTCCCCACCACTGGCTTCCTCTTGGTCCTAAAATCTGGCAGTGCCAAAGAAAATGCAGCTGAAGCTATGCCCATTATGACTTCTGGCTCATGTGATCACATGAAGGAAATATTCACTTGTGGCCCTTGATCAAGGCTGGTTTCCTTTCAAACCCTCTCTCCTTGCCTGGCTTGCTCTGCTTGCCCTGCCGTGGGGCCCGCATCACTAGCCCTCACACTTCATCTAAGATGCCACACCACTTCTTCATGGGCAGAACCTCAGCTGGATGAAATAAAGCTTAAAAAAAAAAGAAAGAAAGAAAAAAAACTTTATAAAAGGACAAAATCTCCCATGTTCATGAGGTTAAAATGATTAATCTCCAAATGTCATGAGTAAGGCCCACCTATGTATGCATTAAGTTGTGCAAAGGTACTTGAGATAATTTCTTTATTGTAAAGAAATTAAGAAATTACAATAATTTCTTTATTAGGCTACTGAAATTTTGTCCTAGACCCTAAACTCATAAAAGGAGGCAAATCTCTCAGCCCCAAGCACCTGCAGAGCCAAAAGTAGGTAATATATGAGAAGACAAATTAGACTACCAAACCATTCATTTTCAGATTTGAAAAAACACTGTCCTGATGGCGCTCTGTGACAATTGCTCTAAGAGCAGAGTGCATAGAGTCAAGGCTGCAGGAAAGATTTTAATAAAAGTGAATTCCTTATAAGCCGTATTCCCTAGCAGAAAGATATGAATACCAGAGCTATAGGTAAGAAAAATATAAGTTTGATGGTTCAAAAAGAATTTGCAAGGAAAAGGTTAATTAAAAGTCTGATGGAGAGTCAATAAAGGCAGGCAGGAGAAATGTGAGGCATGAAGACCATCAGGTGATTCCCAGTGGGAAAGATTTTCAAACTCCACACCCCAGGGAGGAAGTTGTCATCATGGCCTTCACTGGAGCACAGAAAAGGCATATCCAAGGTGCTGTGCTCATAAAGTATCCAGACTAGAAAAGACCAATGTTTTTTTTTTTTTTTATTCAGAGATGTTTATCCATCTGCAATTTAATAGGGAACATGGTAAAATTACACACACTCCTGCCTTTTAATACTAACCACTTAGTTACTTTACCTTCTTAGGCCTTTGTTACCTCAGCAGTTAAATAAGGGAGGTGAACCAGATGATTTCTAAGTTCTCATCCAGAGTTTTAAAAAGTATCATGTATGTGAAAAATGCTTATGTGTTCAGTAACACACTCCTTCCTAATAGGCCACTGTACCTTTTTATATCATGATGCATCTAGTGGAGCCGAACTTACACAGTAAATTGCACAGTTATAGGCTTGAAGCAGAAATAATTCATTGTCTTATTACCTCTATGCTAATAGTATCATGTCTCTGTAGAGAATAAAATCAAGCACAAAACATACAATAAATATTTAATATATTCCTCACAGAAAAGAAACTGTGTAAAGCCATGTCTTGGCTTTCCCCCACCCCAACATTGCTGGACCAATTTAAGCAAAAGAAGGCAGTTCAGGAACTGCTTACACAGGAGGAGGCTCTGCTTAGAAGCAGATTTGTACCACTGTAGTCTCCCTGTCCAAAAGGGAGATTTGGATGCTAGGCCTAAACCTTTTAGCAATCATGTAACTCCAGGCAAATATCTCACCTTTACTGCCTCCATTTTCCATCTGTAAAATAACTACACTTCTACATGTCTCTTCTACCTCGAAAATGGGCCAAGTACAGAGATAAAGTATGTGAAAATGCTGAGTTCTAGAGAGGAAAAGTGTCATAGGCAGATAAGTGAGCACTCATTGCCTGAAACACTTTGGCAGTAAACTCATTCTGAAGTAAACTCACTATTGTAATCAGATTGAGACAAGTAGGGTAGAGTCACTGGACCACAGAGTTGCAAAGTGAGTTATCAGAAAGTAAGAGCAAACAATACTGTGACAAGAATGTGACTTTGACAATATGATTGTGACAGGCAGCACACACAGCCTAATCTCCCCAGTGAAAGAACTCAACTAGACTGGCGTGAGACACAGAGGGCTCATAGGCTTCTGGGCTGTGAAAACATTTTCCATCTTCCTTCCTTTATTTCTTCCTCCCATGCATCTCTTCCCCCTTTCCTTCATCCCTTCCCTCCACACATTCAAAGATTTTGCTCTGAAATCTTAAGTGTTCCTTATTATAGATATGGAAATAGACCTTAAATTGCTTAGTCATTTAAATTACAATGACTAAAGTTCCATAATCAGTAAATGTGACTGAGGAAACCCCTGGGCTTTTGCTAGCTTTGTCTATAGACTCCTAATAGCTGCTCCTACAGAGGCTCAGACAGGGGTCTGCAGAGGAAACTCAGGACTGCTGCAGCATGGACTGGCAGGGGACCAGCCAATCAGGTGGGCTAAGCCCATCTTCCTTCAGATTTTCTCCTTCATATATTCAGCATTTCCCCTGAATATGGAGGGAAAGCCTATGTGCCAATTATAGTGAAGAGTTTTCAATTATTATCTCATTAAGACATTATTTATTTCTTAGGATATAAATAAATAATTTCTTCTACAATACTGGACAGAAGATAGACAAACAGAGGCCAGAAGACTAGTTTGGAGGATGTCATGAGAGCAAGATGAAGAGGGCCCACATAAAGGCAAACCATATCAGAACTGTCTCTCCGTGGAAAAGCATTTCTATTTGAAAAGGCCAAATAAGAAATATTCTTTTGAAGTAAAAGTTGATTTCTCTGTGTAGTTCAGGTCAAAGTATTTCAAGTCAAAGACTATAGAATCCAATGACTCTAAACCAGCTATTTCCTCACTGCAAAATCTAGAGGCTGAATTATACATATACTGATAACAATGGCAATAATTATCGCTTGAGTTTCTTCAGTGTTTCTCTATTCCCAGCATTGTAGCAGGTGCTTTACAAACACATAAGGCCCTGGCAATAAGGCAGACTTTATTATACTCTATTTCCAGAGGAAAAAACTTGAGATTGAAAAGTTAAGAAACATATCTATAAGTAGCATGGGATAGAGGCAAGATCCAAACATTGGTCTGTCTGCCTCCAGAGTCTGTGCTTATTAGATTATGTTATGCTGTCTCCATGTTTATCTTTTTAAGATTTCGCTCACATTCCTTTTTACTTCTAGGAATGCTGATTAAGGGGAAAAAGAAGGCAACAGCAAGAGCATCAGCAAGGGAGGAGGGGAAGTAGACAAAAGGCATGTTAAGAAGGAAGAAGAGAAAACCATATCACTTCCTAAACTATGGTTCTTTTCTTAGAGAAATAGATGCCACAGCTGTCACACTTAATAAATTCACTTATACTATGCTCCCTGCTGCTGCCTTAGAGAGGGTAGGAAGAGGAAAGTGGGACTTCCAAGATTGCTGCCTCTGACAGACCTGAGTGCAGTGAGATTGACAGCTTGTCGAGCACCCCTCCCAACCCCCTGAAATGAGAAGGGCCTACCTGGGTGCCTATGACCCTCACTGACTGTCTACATTGGGACAAGCTAGAGCTCCTCCTCTACCCTGGCCCACAGGCTCCTCCTCCTCCTTACCTTGGCCCTGAAGCCTGCTCACATCTCCTGATCCCAGGTCTTTCCCTTTGTCTCTTCCTCCTTATTCAGATGACCACAGTCCAAGCAAACAGCAGAAGGGACCTAACTCATCTGGATTACATTATCTCCTTGTATCATGCTATTTACATTCATGAAATATGGTATTGCGAGATCACATTTAGTAAACCTTTTCCTTAAAAACAGTTTTATTCTCTAATCCACTTTTTATTGGTTAGGAGCAAAACAAAATGGATCATATATTTAAAAGCAGAGGGAAGAAAAGAGACATACCATTCTAGAACTGTCTAGCAAGCAAATGCCCCAAGAATATTTATCCAAGTGGTTACCCTGGGATATCTGAGGGGAAATGTGAAAGCAATTTTCTTGGCTATCATCACTTTAATATGAAATTTAAACCCCAAACACAACCAGAAGCACATTCCTTTAATTTGAGGAAAGTAAAATTGCGCTTAGGGAGCGTGGACAAAGCTCTTACCTGGCATGACCATAGTCTGTGGGGCTGCAGCATCATTACTTAAGCAGAGACGGCCACCTTTGGCTAATCTATCGCAAAGCAAGGTAATGTGTTTTTTCAGTCGGCTTGTGTCTTTAGGTATGTTCAGCTGGCTGTTGAGGTTCAAAGCCTGTTCCTTTGAACTCTTTGATAGGCAGGTCTTCAATAAGTGAGAAATGGCAGCATCCACCGTTTCTTCCCAACCCTGTATGCAAAAGCCAGGGAGGATGACAATGAGCCAAGTGGGCACTTTACTGTTAACCAGGTTATCCAAATGATTGAGTGTTTATTATGTTCAGGTTCTGGAAAAAAAGCTTGGTCCCTGCAATACTCCAGACCAGACACATTTTGAATTCTAGCTCTGTCAGCTGTTTGACCCTGAAAAGGTTACTAATTCCTCTTGGCCTCATCCTCCACGAGGGTTGGGGTGATTAAATGAGATGATATATGAGAAGCTCTTAGCACCGTGTCAGGCACAGAGTAATCAGTAACAATAAGATTAATCTCCAGTGCAGGTCTGTTTGATGATCTGGTGGGGGAAGCTGCCAGAAGCATCGTCTGCTTTGCTTTATACTTCTGCCAAAGGAGAGCTGGCCCAACAGGCAGGACCTAGACAGGACCTATGGATACCTTGGAAGAAACTGAAATGGAGATAAAACCCTGATGTGTCAGCTACCAGTGACACAGCCATGGGGTTGCAGGCAAAAAAACAAAAGGAGCTAATTTCAAGATGGATTTTGTGAGACACAAGGGCCCATTCTAGTCCCATTTCACTCAAGTGACAAAAAAAGTAACACAAAGCAAGAAACCATTTAGCCTGCTTTTGTTGGGAATAGTGTGACTGTGCTGTGGTGAAGACCTGGAGAAGTACAGCATCACCTTAGTACCATGAAGGCTGTGATCCTAGGAACAGCGGTGCTGTGGAAGGTCCTCAGCATTGCCACAGAGGATGCTATCACCAGCAGGACTGGCACAGGCAGGGTCACCTTCAGGTGGGTACAGATAAGATTTGCAATAAGGAGTGGGTGGTGAGGGGGTAAAGAGCAGGATGGATCAATTGATGGACTTCCATTAGGCATCCCTGGAGGCCCAGAGATTCCTGGGTAAGATCTTCATGGGGGTTTGAGGTACTGAGCAACAGGGAAGCCTGAATGAAATTTGGGCGTTGGTGTCTAGAACTCTTTCAGTTCCACAGCAACATCACAGACTTGAAGCCAGAACCTCAGAGGCCATCCGCTTGCTGACTTTCCTGCTTCCTAAACTCTCTCCTCAGCCAGCCTCTTGGGAGAGTAGTTTTCTGTCACCCCCAGCCTGTCTCTGGGAGAGTAATTATGTCATTTAAAGAACACCCTTCAGCAATGATCATGAGCAGGCAGAAGTTTCTGGATTTGCTTTTCCTCTTTGGGATAAAGTTTTGAGTACTGAAATGTGAAAAGAGTGATCAAATTATGTTTTTTCCTCCTCTGCTATTCCTTTAAGGAAATAATATTGTATACAGTACTTCCTGCAGGCATTGTTACATTCAGCTTCTTGTTTCCTTTCAAAGCCTTGCTATTAAGAATTTAAGACTTGTAATATCTTGACCTGAAGTGGATTTATTTATATATCCATTCAGTATTAAAAAAAGTGCCATTTGTACCCACAGGCTGACAAGGCCAAGAGCACCATGGGCCATATACTCAAAGTGCTATGCAAAGAGAGACAGAAAAAGAATTTATTCTCATACAATATTCCAGAATAGTTCAATACCCTTACAATAGAGGTGATAAATCTGAGACTTGGATGACACGTGGCTCTGGAAGCCCTCACTGTTATTGCCACTCCATCTTCAACCTTGTTTTTGAGGCACTTTTGAAATATGCAAATCAGATGATGTTATTCCCAAGCTTCAACTCCTATATGTAAATGCTAAGTTTAGTATTTAAGGTTCTTTCTGCCCCAGCTTCTGCTCCACTGTACTCTCTTCCCACCCACCTGCACCCACGCTCCCTCCTGCTCAGGCCTCTCACATGTTCAGTTCTCATGCTGCTATACCCTACTCCTACTCTTTACCTGACTGACTCCCACTTTCACCTCAGCTCAGGCACTGGCACCTAAGGATGACATTCACAGGCCCTCTTCAGGGCTCTAGCACACCTCACCCAATGCTGGGGTTGCTGTTTGCAAGTCTAGCTTCCCCAACTGGAGTGCTGGGAACGATCCACATCATTGTACTTGGTGCACTGACAGTGGTCAAGAAATATGTTTGCAGGACTGAGATGGTAGGATATAGAACCAGCATCCTAGAGTTGGGAGGGTTTTGGAGATCTTTAAGTTCAGTCTTGTGGGATTTTCCCAGGATCCTTTAGATAATACCAACCATCTGCCCAGACAGGAATATCTTCAAAATCCAAAATTATATTATTTTTTTGGGGGGTGGTACCAGGGATTGAACCCAGGGGTACTCAGCCACTGAGCCACATCCCCATCCCTTTTTATATTTTATTTTGAGACAGGGTCTCACTAAGTTGCTTAGGGCCTCACTAAGAACAATTGCTGAGACTGGCTTTGAACTCACCATCCTCTTGCTTCACGTCTCCCCAGCCTCTGGGATTACAGACATGTACCACTGTGCCTGGCCCAAAATTTATGTTACTTTTTGAGGCAGTTCACTCCTCTCAGGACATGTGCAACCAACAGAAAGCTATTTGCTTTCTAAACCGAAGTTGGCTTCAGTGGCCCTTGTTCTAACCTCCAGAACCATGCAAAATCAGTCTAAACTCTCTTATACATGACAGCCCTTTATATCTGTGAAGACAGCAATTCTGTACCCTCTCCTCCAGAATAAACATCCCAGTTCCTCCAGCTCTTCCTTATATAAACATGGTTTCAAGTTTTCTCTCCATCCAAACCACTCTTCTTTGAATGGGTTCCAATTTTAAACACTTAAAAATTTATGCAGCTAAGGAGAGAACCCCAAACTGACCCCAGGACACCAGGCTGGGCCTGGTAGTACAGGCTGGGACACTGGCCTCCCTCCTGTTTTCTGGGGATCCTACCTGCCAGCCTGGCTTCTGCTCTCTTGGCTGCTGCACCATGCTCTTGTTTCACAATGTATACACGAACACTTCAAGCCTAGGCCCTGCCACACTCGCCACTGTCTTCCCTTCTTGGCTCACACAGCAGCTTCATTAGACCAAAGTGCAGACTCTACAACTACTGCAGAATTTGACATTGATTGACATAATCCATTAATCCAGATTCTTTCATCTACTGACCCATTTTTATTGTCCCTTTATTGATGTAACTAGGAAAATTAGGAAATAATGATTTTAAAATGACTGGAAAATCCTCTCAAGAAGACCTCAAAGACTGCAAAAACAGTTTCCTAACCACTAAAGAATAATAAACCACTAGTTACTACAAAGATATCTCTCTACTACTACTAAAATCTAAATTAGACAAATATCAAAAATTGACTCTTCATCCCAATAATAATGAAATGAGACAAGGAAAGACCAAAAAAGCAACCCAGATGTTACTGGAGAAGACAAATTTTCAAGTTGCTTTTGGTGCCTTTGACAAAGATCTCTGGAGTATAAGAAGAAAAAATCCTTTGAGTATATTTTGACATTTGTATCCTCTGTGGTCATTTCAGCACGAATACAGTTTTCACTCTCCGATAGACTATTCATCTACGCAAACTTCTGTATTAGTAAGTAGATTACAGCAGTTTATTAGATAATTTAAGTAGGTATGGAATTTAGTTAGCATAGAAGTACCCCAATAGAATTTCTTTGCCTACTTCCAACTTGCAAATCAAGTAAAAAATCATGTCATATTTAGATATTTGGCATGGAATAGAATGAAGCATGATGCCAATACTTCAGAGAGATTGCACTAAAATACAGAGTTATTATTTGCAAGGTCTGAATTGCTACATAAATTCAAATATGATAATCAAAGAGAATATATTTATAGACAAGAGGAGCCTTTGAAATGGGAGTTTAGTTTACATAAAAATACAATTCATTAATCCACCATGTAACATACCTACCTAATGAAATATTAAACAAAACTGTGTGGAATATAGAAACTACATGTGAGAAGTACCTTAAAAGTAAGCTATTTTGGTGTCTGAGTATATCATTTTTATTTACAGCCCATATCTAAACATACCTACATGCCTCACATGCACATACCTAACTTATCCTTTAAAGCTGCATGTAGGAGAGTGAAAGTAAATCTTAATACAGAGGAAATATCTCCAAAAATATCTGGAAGGGAACTAAGCATATACCCTTCAGTGAGAACTGGGTTTTGTTTTAGTTCTCAAATCTACATGTTAAACTCAAAAATCTCAGTTGACTGACCTATGTATGACTTTTAGAAAACAACAGCAGGTAGATAGAGGAAGAACTAAAGGCAGGAAGGAATTTAAACATATGTGTTATTCTACTTTAAGTATTGGAAATTAACTTAGTCATTAGGTTTGGGAAGGGTGTGTTCACATTTTCTAGTATTAATAACTGGGTTTTCCCTTCATTCCCAAGACCTTGTCTATACCCACACTTTATGGTTTGGATCTTAAATGTTCTCCCAAAACTCAAGTGCTGAAGGCTGGGTCCCCAGTTGGTGGCATGATGGGGAGGTAGTGCAAACTTTAGGGGTAGAACTAGTTGGAGGAAATAGGTCACTGAGTACATCCTCTTGAAGGGTACAGGGGACCCAGTCTCCTCTTCTCTCTCTCCCTGTTTCCTGGATTCCATTAAGTAACTAGCTTTGTTCTACCATGTGCTCACCACCATAATGTTCTGCCTTGCCAAAGGCCCCAAAGAAATAGAGTCAGCCAATCATGAACTGAAACGTCAAAACCATGAGTCAAAATAAACCTTTCTTCCTTTTAAGCTGTTTATCTCGGATATTTTGTCACAATGACACAAAATGAAGCTGAATGTGGGACACATCACTGTGGGAACTTTATTTTTGTCTTAGTCCATTGCCTGAGTCCCTTTCTTGGGAGCCTACTTAAAGTGTCACTCTGACAGACTGGGCTGCCTTGATCTTTGCCAGATGCCCTCCAATGAACTGGACTCTGTCTGTGGCCTTACTGCCTGTTTCTCCAATGCCCAGTTTCTTGCTATGGGTATCCACAAAAGGCTACCCAGTTTTCAGCTTCCCTGTTTCACCTGCCTCTGAAAAGCCTCTTATACTACATGGGGATCA